TTACACATACTTTGAGGCAAAACTATCCAGCAATATCTTTTTTAAAAAATCTTTTTATTAGTTGTTCATGGAAATTCAATTTGTTTACTTATTTATACATGATGCTGAGAATTAAACCCAGTGCATTGTACATGCTAGACAAGCATTCTACCACTGAGCCACAACCCCAGCCCTCCAGCAATATCTTTTAACTGGTTCTTTGAAACTTATAGCCGGAATGGGAAAAAAAAAAAAACAACTCTGACAATCATCTGGATGCAGTGGTGTAGTGAAAAAACAATCTTTTAAACCTATTACCATTGAAAGATAATCAAAGGGGATGGTGGTAGGAGAAGGAAGCCCAGGCTGTAAAGCTCCCATGAGTTCTATAATGTGATTAATTGCTCTAAGATTTTGTAATAATCTCCATTTGCCAGATTTTTTTTCTTAACTACAAAAACTAGTGTGTATTCCAGCAACTAAAAGTAGGCTCTAAGGCCAGCTTGAAGTTGTTCTTGGACTAAAATATTGGCTATTCAAAGTTTCTCCCCTGTTAAGGGCCAAGGACTAACCCAGATGGGCTTTTCTGTTAGCGAGATACTTTTTTTCTGCTGTTTTCTGGGCTGGGGAGGAAGTCAGCTCCCTCGAAAAGAACTTTGATTGGGTGAATTAAATTGAATCATAGGTAAATACCCTCTTGTTGATTCCCTTTTAATCCTTTAGGAGAAATAGATCCTTGATTAAACATCTCAAGTGAAACCACAGAATTAAAAGTTATTAATAACACACCTAGGTTACATAGAATAACTCATCACCATAAACTTACTAGCAAAGTATTGAAGACATAAGTTTTAAAAAGTCCTGCATGGCCATCTGTATCTTCCCATCGGAGGTACTGGGCTCTGAGAAGGCTAAGAGATTTGACCAATCCTTTCTGAGCAGGCAGAGGCAGTATGCAAAGGCAGTTTGGGGGCCAATTTCTGCTGGAAATAACTAATTTATCTGCCCCTATAACTCGTATGCCGCTAAAATTATTTGGTTGATTTTACAATCTGATAGATGGTTCTCTTGCTTGATCAATTGAGCCAAATAGGCCCTGCCCAGGGACCTGGAAGCCAGGATTCCACCCAGACTATCCACTGTGGGGAGCCATTCTCACACGTGACTGGGCAACTCCCCGATTGGGACCTGGTCATAGAAAACGATAACTGAGTCTGTGTGTTTATTTCGATCTCACTAGCTAACTTTTATGCCAAGAACCTCTTTAATGAAACCAGTGCGCTGGTCGCATGGTGGAAATCCACTAAGCCTTTCCCTGCAGATCAGTGGCAGAAAAATTATCTGTGCAGTTATATCCTTGGAGAAAACTGAATAATGCAATTTGCTTGAACCATAATCTTTATTTCCCCATTAAAATTTGTATCCATAACACCCGGTAACACTTGAATTCCTTTTTGAGTTAGGCTGCTTCTTCCCAATATTAAACCTATCAATTTATGGCAATGACCCATAAATCCCTGAAGGGATTTATTTTGAATTCCAGGGCTGGTCCGAGCTCCAAGCTCGGACCTTTGAACTTAAACTGTCTCTGATGAATTGTAAGGTTGGGCCTGCGCATAAGGAAGCTGGGCTAGCGTGGATGAGCATGACCTGGAGCCTCCAGCTCTGCCGTCTACTGTTTGGGTGGCCCCACCTCCAGTTTCCCTACAGCAGAATCAGAGGCTGGCCATTTATGGGCGTGGCCTCCCCATGCCTTGTAGTTGCCCCTCCAACAGTGCAGCCAAAAACCTGGTGAATTTCCTTGCCTTTGTGGCAATCTACAATCCCTCGCCACGTGCCTGACTTTACAGCAATTAAAACAGTGCCTTTGGTAATTACTTTTCTTTGACGGAGGTTGCAGAGCCTGCTTTAATGTGGTAGCAATAGTTAGACCTTGCAAATGCTTTGGACCTACATTGGAACAAAGGCGGATAAACTTGGACACAATTCCTTTCTTAAGATGTGGCTGAATTATTTCTTGACAGACTTTATTAACATTTTCATAAGCTGGATTTTTAATCAACACCTTGGAGGCACTTGTATCCCCTACCATGCAGCTTGTAGCCTGGCACAAAGGCCCCACAAAATCCAAAAACTCTCCTGTGGTCCCTGTTGGATTTGACTGAAATCTACTTTTTTTTCCTTTTTTATTAGGCAATTCCCTCCCATCGGAGGTACTGGAACATGCCCTAATCTGATTATGAACTTGCAAATCATACTTTAACTGCTGTTCCAAATCAGTAAATTGTTCTGACCCAATCAACATCTCTACCATAATGTCAATCCCACGTCTTTTGTTAGTTTCTGACTGCTTAGAGCAAAGATCTATCCAAATAGATCTCCACAGTAAATAATCACCTCCAGAAAGACACACTTTAGCTAGTATGACCCACGTATGCGGTGGCCGAGCCTCACTACAGATGGATTCTATGGATTCTATGAGGCTTTGAACAAAAGTTGAGTTTGCTCCATATGTGGAGCAAGCAAATTTTAACTCTTAACATTTTAAAAAGGAACAGCAACATGAGCTCACACATGTTTGTTTTGCTCAATTATCTGTTAAAAAATTGGAACGAATTTAATTCTGAAATATCTTCTCCCTCTTGTATTGCAGTTCTGAGACCAAGTTGGAGGGGAGAAAGATTTGGAAGGGCCATGTTGGAGAGATTAAGCCTCAGCCTTCCTGAAGGGAGAGGAGAGATCCAGACTGATGGAGCAGGACCACTTAAATGTAAATTCTGGAGGCCTACTTCCAACCCAGATTCCTCCTAACTGTGAATCCTCCTTCAAATCCCTCAGCACGGTTCCTCCTCCATCATCTTCCATCTCCCTTCCTAATGAAATTTGATCTGGGGCATTTCCCTGCCTAGCACTTGTCTGGAGCAAAGACTCAAGCCCCAGCCGCTGGATTTCTTGATTTTAACTTGCTAGGAATGGAACAGGCTTAGATTCTGCCCTGAGGCTTTCTCTCTGAGTTTCAGGAGTTACAAATCCAGCCTGGTTTTGTTCTGCCCTTAATCTTTCTTCCTGCCTTTGATGTGTCAGGTTACCTGCAGACAGAGAAATCCTCAGAGCTGAGAAAGGCTGCCTACCAGGTTTGAGGCTTTGACTGCATCTCTAAGACCCACAAGTAAGTCTTTTGAAGACCGCTAACCAAAATCTTGGTCTGAATATAAACACATCTCTATTGCGGTCCAAATTTTTAATTTTTTCTTAGTTGTTGATCTTTATTTTTTATTTATTTATACATGGTGCTGAGAATTGAACTCAGTGCCTTACACATGCCAGACAAGTGTGCTACCGCTAAGCCACGGTCCCAGCCCTGCAGTCCAATGTTTTTGTACATTTTTGATCATACTTTTAGGCAGGTCAGCTGAAATGCAACCTTCAAATAATTTTCTACCAATCCTTTCCCAAGTATACAAATCAAGCGATTCCTCCTCACAAAACCATGGACAAATGTCCCTAATCATTTCTAAAAACTGAGCGAGCTGGGCTCTTTTTATATCTTTTACTTTTTGTTTAATTATCATCATCAGAATTGCAAAATAGATCTCCCTTTCTGAAAACACAGAATTCTCCATACTTAACAACTAACTAGCTTTTTCTCTCTACTTTCAAAAACCAATCCACAATACTCTGAAAAATATAAGTGCAATTTTCCTGTGAGATAAAACCAGACCCACTATGTACCTTGAATACACATGATGAGTAGTCCCTGTCCAGGAGCCAGCTACCACCCACATCCCACAATGGATGTTGGAATTGGGATCCCTCTGCATGGTGTGGCTGGCAGCGAAAAGACCTCACAGACCTGCAAGTAATTTTTTCACAAAGTAACGTCATAAGTTCCACATAATTATTAAAGCTAATCTTGCTTCATCAAGTTATTGAAGATGTCCATATAACTGTTTCTTTATACATAAAAATTATTTTGACATAAATCCTTTAAGATGTCATTGATAACTCTATGTTATATAAAATTCTAAATGAGACCACTGTCCTAAACAATACTGTTGACTTATTTTTACCCATCTACTGTTGAAGGTACTGATTCCCCATACTTAAATCAACATTAGGTTTACTAATGATACTAACAGTTTTTCATAGATTGGTAAATATAGGGCTATTCATTTTTCTATTTTATTTTTAGTTAGTGGTGAAAAACAAAATATCTTTCCTATGCTTATTAAACATGTACTTCCTATTCTAGAGAGATGTCTATATATCTCTCTCATGCCCCTAGTAAAGGCTACCTCTCTTAAGTTAACTCTGTCGTCTCTCAACTCATTTCAAATTAAGATAATTATTTAAGTTAATCTAGAGCTAACTTCAAAATACAAATTGTTATATACAACTTATTATATACTTCATTTTGTAATTCTGTTAAAGTCAAAATCAAATCATACATTTAGTGAAAATTGTTTCTATTTACCATAGTCCCTTTCCAACTCAATAATTTTGACCTTAACATAGCTAATAAGTAACTTTTGTCAAGTTTCATGACCAATTAAATATAATAAGTCTTTTCTTATTATTAAATACTTGTACTATGCTAAACTTTGTCTATGACTTAAAACCAATGATACTATGACTTATGCCAAACTTTTATTAAATTTTAACAAATAATAAAAGGGGGGGGAACAGTACCCTACATGCATATACTATATCTTAGAAAATATTTCAAAAATTTTTTCTTAATTTATAATAAATTTCTGCTGAACATGACTCAGTAAGTTAAATCAGATTTCAAGGGATAGAATCTAAACCTGTCATCATGGAAATGGCTGAAAAACCTGACACAGGAGGGTAAACCTCCACCCACAGATTTCACAGCCATGTAAGATTCACAAGCTGCCAGGTAAGAAAAATCTATGAAGAGACTTCTGTGGATCCATTCCCCAATCCATTCCCATTCCACCCTTAATGTACTTTACAATGTGGATTGGAAAATCCATCTATATTTAATGATATTGACTATAATGGTCAGCTACCTATATGTTGATCCCATGGTAAGAATGCTGGCTGCCTAAGGGTATCTTTTGAGGAAAAGACAGAACATGGGGAACCTAAACCAGCCAATCATGCTGGTACTTAGAATTTAAGACTATACTGATATATCTGGACAGTTTTCAAAATAGAAAGAGTATTGAGATGAAATTTTCCCATACAGGTCAGTTATTTACATAGAATATCCACCAATATATTATTGCCCTAATCATTCTACAATAGAATTTGGCACATTTCCTAAATGGATGAATTGTGCAAATGCTTTGCCAATACAACAAAATGTCTAGAAATAGTGGATATATTTTAGACTGGTCTCCTAGAATTGACAAAGACAATTATGCTAGGATGCCATGACACCTGGAGGTTTTATTGGTAATATTCTAACCTTCAGCAAGGTGGTATCTAGAAGGATGTTTGTTGCCTAATTGCTGCCCCAGAATCTTTGCACAACTGACAGACCTATGCTGGATTTTGTAGGCAGGAATTATAAGGAAGTTCCTGTATGATCTGCAGGCATATGTTTAATCTCTTTATGCTTTGTTTATTGGAAATGTGAGTGTTAATAGAAAGGATGATAAATATCTTGGAGCCTGTAAATAATGCAACTTAACCAATTGTATCACTAGTCATAATAGAGGAAAAGGACATTCATCATTCACCAACCCTCCTTTGTCCTGTTGCCAGCTAAGATTTCAGAAATGTGATAGGCTGAAGTAGGTTTCCATGCTTTACAACAGGTGCATGCCAGTTAAACAGACCAAGTAAGCTCTTGGTCTCATGATCCTTGGAGTGGCTACTTTTCTTTTATTCATTGTTACTATGATTACAGCCTCTGCAGCTAGGTCTTAAATATTACAACATATGAATTTTCTTAATAATTTGGCTTTAAATAGTTCACCAAGTACCAGGAAGGGCACAGAAGGCCTATGTTCTTGTTAGACTGTGACAGAACAGGAGTGCACAGGTTCAGCTGATGTGTGAGAACGGAGGGGAAAGTGGTCAGACCCCTGGGACCAAACTTACCTGACACTTCTAAGATCGTTGGTCAGCACAGGTGTGTCCCTTATCCAAAATGCTTGGCACCAGGAGTGTTTTTGATTTTAGATTTTGGGGGATTTTGTAATATTCACATAATGAAATATCTTGGGGATGGGATCCAAGTCTAATCACAAAATTGTTGAGAGCCATCTGTGGACGATGTGTAGACTAAACTGGCATGGTACCCCTGGTGTCTGGAAACTTCCAGCAGCAATTCCGCTGGTTAAGACTGCCCAGAGGGCTGGGGATGTGGCTCAAGCGGTAGTGCGCTCGCCTGGCATGCGTGCGGCCCGGGTTTGATCCCCAGCATCACATACCAACAAAGATGTTGTGTCCGCCGAGAACTAGAAAATAAATATTAAAAATTCTCTCTCTCTCTCTCTCTCTCCTCTCTCACTCTCTCTTTAAAAAAAAAAAAAGACTGCCCAGATACATGTGAATTTCTATTTAGCTCTGCCAGGTTCCACACAGTACCAGAGACGGGGTGATCCGCTGTAGCCACCCAGCCTGGGTGTGGCCTGCCAAGATGCCAATCAACCTGTTGACTGCAAGACATCACGAAGCAAGACTCCTCCCCTGAAACCTTATCCCTGCCTTTGATGTTCTCCCTTAAATAAAGAATCAGAGCAGTGTTGTTTTTTTAAGTCTTCTGTTTCAGCTCCTACCAGGACTGGAAGAACCTATCAGACACTCTCTTAAAACAATAATTCTGACTGTCTTTTATTTCCTCATTAATTACTTCAGACTTTATTTTCTCAGGCAGCTTATCCTCTCCTTCACAGGAAAAATTACCCTGGCAAAGTGCTCGTACAGAATTCATTTGTTTCTTATACACTTACACACATAGCCTGAAGGTAATTTTATACCATATTTTTAAATAATTTTATGCACAAAAGGAATTTCATGGTGCAGAATTTTTCACTTGTGGCATCATGTCGGTGCTAAAAATGTTTTAGGTTTTGCAGCTTTTCAGATTTTATATTTTTAGGTGTTCAAATTGTATCAGTCAAATTTAAAAAAAAATATGTATATCCCATGATTCACCAGTTACAGTTTTAGGGCACTTACTGTTGGAATACTCCCAAATGGCACCACATTAAATATAAAGGGGTTATTTTTTAGTTTGCAAGTACTTCCCATAAACTCCCATGCTGGGATTGAACCCAGGGGTGAGCCACATCCCAGCCCTTTTACTTTTTTGAGACAAGGTCTTGCTAAGTTGCTGAGGCTGGCCTCCAACTTGCCATCTTCCTGCCTCAGATTTCAAGGGATAGCTTTCTGAGTAGCTGGAATTATGGGTGTGTGCAACACACCTGCCTTTAGTTGTATGCTTTTGCTGTGTTTGTAGAAAACCAGTGTATGGAATCAGCATTCAGGATAGAGGAGGAGAAGAAGCAACTTAAAGTTGTCAGAGTCATCAAAATTGAGAACATCTTTAGGCTGGGGATATAGCTCAGTTGGTAGAGTGCTTGCCTCACATGCACAAAGCTCTGGGTTTTATTCTCAGCATCATAAAAAAAATTGAGAACATCTTTGCACTTGTCCTCCCACCTGCTCAGTGTGCCCCTCTCCCAGTGGATGTGGGTTTTGTGGGTTCTCTGTTGCAGGAGGCTGTGAACTTCAAGGACGTGGCTGTGGTCTTCAATGAGGAGGAGCTGGGGTTACTGGACTCTGCCCAGAGGAAGCTGTACCAAGAAGTGATGCTGGAGAACTTCAGGAACCTGCTCTCAGTGAGTGAGGACAGGTGTCCTGAGTACTGAAAAGTCAACCTTCTGGAGTACATTGTTTGAAAATATTTAAGACTTTGGGATTTTAAACAATTATTTTAGTTGTAAATGGACACAATAACTTTATATTGTTTGTTTATTTATTTTTATGTGGTACTGAGGATTGAACCCAGTGCCCCACATGCATGAGGCAAGTGCTCTACTGCTGAGTCAAAACCCCAGTCCCAAGACTTTAGGATTCTTGAAATGCTTCTCTGAACTTGGGAGTATGGATTCCCTAATTCTTGAGGGACACTTTGTACTTTACTCTTCTCAGATTTCAATTGCAGCATCTTGTTGGGTTTTAAAAGTAATTGGTGAGTTACACCATTTTTTAATGCAGTGGAGTAGAAATACAACTTGTTAGGAATCACATACAGTATCCAAGAATAGTGAATGAAATAGGAAAGGAGAGGTAATAACAGTGGGTGTTGGTTAGCATCAGATCCACTGGTCATTTGATTTAGTGATTTACACATGTCTATACTGGATTATAAAATTTTTTTTAATAATAGGGCACAATAGAATTTTGAAAAATAATTGCTACTTAAAGTGCATGAGGATTGTAATCTTGGAATTAATTTTTTTTTTGCATTTAAGACATTCACTTCTATGTATGGTATTTCTCATTTTAGTTTTTGCCGTGCTGGGGATGGAACCCAGGGCCTCATCCTTGCTAGACAACCACTGAGCCCATCCCAGCCCTGCCCTATCTTTTTCACTGGCTATAAACCCTTTAAACTGGGTATGATGTTGCCATTGGGAAGAGAGGAGAAGCTTTGGATGATGGAGGCAGAAACCGAAGAAGATGAGAGTTCAGGTGAGAGCCACACAGCTCTGAGGCTTTCAGCGGGCAGCCCAGGTCTTCCCTTCTCACCCATCCATGGAGACTACCCCTTGGCATCATCTCCATCTCTGCAGCAGCCGTCACCCAGCCAGATCTGTCAGGCAGTTAGGTCATTCCTGTGCTCCGGGCCCTCCCATGACTTAAGTCTCACTCAACTAAATCCAAAATCCGTCAAGGGCCTTCTGTGTCCTGCATGACCTGGCCACCCACTCACTTACTCCATTAATCTGTTCTTTTCTCAGTCCCTTCCAGCGGCATGAAGGTGCTGTTTCTTAGATCTGCCGAGTGTCTATCCTGTGGTCTACGTAGACACATACCTGTGAAACCCAGAAGATAATGTTGGATATTCAGATTTACTACGGAAGTTAGCCAAATTAAGTGGCAATACTTTATTGCCATAGTTGTATCAGCCATAGGAATCAGTTTTCTACTGGCTTTGCTCATGTAATGTTCACCGGTTAAGTTCACATGGCAGGAAATCATCAAAATGAAGGGGAATTCTCTCAAATCATGCTTGTTTACGATGTAGGTTTAACAGCTAAGTAAAGGAAATAAATGTACTGTCTCATGGAGGAGACATTTCCCTTTGCAGATAAATTCTTTTCACTTCTATGGAGGACACCCTCTCTCTCTCTCTCCTTGGGATCTTTTGGCATCAGGAGGTAATCTGCCTGTGAACATGAAAAGCTTCAGGTCCTCTTGTCACCTTGGGCCCACTTGCCACATGTGATGTGTAGGTTGTCAGTGTGACCATGATGCTGCTGATCCTACACACCTGCTGCAGAAAAGAGGACAGGGTTTTTGTTTCTGTTTGCATTGGGGGGAAGTTTGTATTTATTGTTGTTTGGTGCTGAGGACCAAACCCAGGGCTTCAGGCTTGCTAGACAAACAGTCTGCTACCAAACTGCATCCCCAGCCAGGGACAGGATTTTTAAGTAATCATTCTTATGGTCAAGGAGGTAATAGGATCACCTTGGTGTTTCTATAGTCATGAAAAGAGCAAGGATAAAGTCACACTCACCTGTCCAGTGGGGGAATAGCTCTCCCAGTGTGGTCAGCTTGTGATATGTTTTTTTTTTAAATCTCTGAACAAACTCTTATTCATCCTCATTTTCATCTCCAAATCTCTTTATCCTTCCAGGATGCAGGGGTCAAAATGAGACAGAGACTCTCTAAGAAGTAGGGTTAAGATACCTTTTACATGAAGACCTTATGTGCTGGCAAATATGGAAACAATTGACAAGTAAATTAACCAGAAACCAGGACTTCATCCTAAGTCTTCAAGGCAAGAGGTCTGAGTTGCCAAAAAAAAAGGTGATGCCCAGGTGTGGACAGGAGCCTCTGTTCCAGTTCCTGGAGATGAGATCTGTGTAGTGAAGCTTCACAGGGAGAGTTCCAATAGCGTCAAAAAGCAAGAGTTTCCAATTAGGACCACCTGGGATTTCTGAAGAAAAGTGAATGTGGAAGAATCCCAGAATTACCAGAGAAGATGCCATCAAACTGACATAAAAAATAAACTGTGTCAATGTGACTGTGATGACCAGGAAGCACACAAAGGAGAGGAAGCTTATAGCCCCAACGATGGCAGAAAAGAATTCATGAAGAAATCACCCCAGCGTAGGGTCAGACCCTCACAAGAGCAAACCTCCCATGAGGATGGAAAAGGCTTCAGTGTTGGCTCTGACCTTGACCTTCCCCAGCAGTTGCCCTTGGGAGAGAAGCCCCCTGTGTGTTCTGAGTGTGGGAGGACCTCGGACCACAGCTCGTTGCTGACCTTGCACCCGAGCACTCACCTGGGTGGCAGACACTGCAGGAATGGAAATGGTGAGGGCTTTGGTCTGAGCTCCTGCTTACAGACTCATCAGTGTCCACCCAGGAGAGGAGCCTCCAGGTGTCAGGTGTGTGCTCAGAGCCTCAATGAGAACTCCTCTCTTCCAAGTCATGAGCTTACTCGGCCAGGAGAGAAGCTGGACACCTGTGAGAGAGTCCTCCCCAGAGACAAAACATGTAGTTGGGAGGCGTGTGAGAGGGGACACAACCAGGATCCTGGTCTCCATCCGGGAGTCCACACTGGAGGGAAGCCATCTACGTGTGAGGTAGGCCATACGGGCTTCAGTAAGGCCTCAACCCTTCATGCTCATCCGAGAACCCACACTGGAGAGAAGCCCTACAGATGTGATGTGTGTGACAGGAGCTTCAGCCGTAATTCTCACCTTCAGGCCCACCAGCGAGTCCACACTGGAGAGAGGCCCTACACGTGTGAGGGGTGCGGGAAGGGCTTCATCTCATATCTCCATGTTCACCAGAGGATCCACACAGGGGAGAAGCCCTATAAATGCACCCTGTGTGGGAAGAGCTTCAGCCAGACCTCACATCTGCAGGCCCATAGGAGAGTCCGTACTGGTGAGAAGCCACACAGATGCTTCGTGTGTGGGAAGGGCTTTAGTCAGAGTTCCTGTCTTCAGGTTCATCAGAAAGTCCACACTGGCAATAAACCCAACCCACACAATCAGTTCAGGAAAGGTGTTCTTCAGGACTTAGACCTCTCATTTTCCTCAGAAAATCCTTGTGGCAAAAGTATTTTTTAAAATGTGTTTTAAGAATTCATGAGTAAATTATTTTTTACAGTCTTACAAATTTCATTGGAGAAAATCTATTTTTTTTTTTGCATGAATACCGTGTCTGAGGCAGAGACTAAAATGTCAGTTTTCAAGGGAACCCACAGCAGAGAAACCTTGGAAGGATGCAACCAGAGAGGTTCCACCCAGAGCCTTCATAAGCAATAGAGACCTTAAAAATGAAAAGTCAGCCCAGGGCTTTCACAGGAGTAAAATGACGAAACTAACAAATCCACATCCACTAGAAGGTGAGCTCCAAGTGCACCACACTGTGACCATGACCTTGAACCATTGCCCAATGAATAGCCGGTGCCCTAGAGTTGTTTACCTTGAGAGGTGTGTTAGTCAGCTTTTTAGTGCTGTGACCACAATGCCCCACCAGGGCGAATTAGAGGAGAAAGGTTTATTTGAACTCACTGTTAGAGATTCAGTCTTCGGCTGGCCAGTTCCATTGCTCTGGGGCTGAGGTGGGCCAATGCATCATGGCCAAAGGGTGTGGCAGAGAAGTGCTGCTTCACTCATGAGGGTCAAGAAGCAGAGAGAGAGAGAAAGCACGTGGGGAAGGGGTGGCAGAGAAGATACACCTTTCAGGGCTTGCCCCCAGTGACACACCTCCTCCAGCCACACCCCACCTGCCTGCAGTCACCACCCAGTCAGCCCTTCAAACTAGGATAATCTGATTAGGCCACAGTTCTCATAATCCAATGGTTCCCCTCTGAATACTCCTGCATTAACACAGGACACCTCATATCCAAACCATGACAAGAGGAAAAACCTATCATAAGGAGAACACTTGCAAAACTGTGAACCCAACCCCAGTTAGTTGTAGTCAATTGTGCTAAGAGTTCTTATAAAAAGCCTTAAAGATAAACTCAAGATAAATGATAACTTAATAAAAATACCTAAAAGCCCAAGTCTGCTCTTTGTATAAGATTTTTACAATTGGCTCCTGTTCTCTGCTCAGCTTCAAGAGTAATGGACTAGTTTTTGACCTTAACATTTAAGACATTCTCTGTACAGTGTACCGTAAATTCTGGATAGTATAAATTTCCACTGTCCTCTTTAGGTCTTATGTGACAGAAACAAACGGAAACAAAATGGCCTTTGATTTCATAAGCTTCCTGAGGAAAGGGTATGCAGAAAGGGGAAATCATGGAACATTCAGTTTGGACGTTGGACTAAGCTCATCAGCCCACGGAGCATTCTAGACACCACTCCATACTTCTCAGACCTTTAGTAGTTTTCAGGTTTGTCAGTTGAAGGGTTTACAGCCAGGTGTATGTCCAGTGCAGGTGGGACAGTCTCCCACCATCTTTTCCCTGGACCTTACCTTCTAGGACAATGGGTGTTGAAGCCCCATGGCACCTCAAATGTCACGTTACCATCCAAAATCCAGGTCCGGCTGTACTCTGCTTTGTCACCACCAGATGCTACTCTGGGCCACCAGTGCTCAAGGTTGTTGATATTAGTTAGGGTGTTTTCAATTTTGAGAGATTTAAAAAATCCAGCTTAATCAGCTGAAACCTTAAGGAAGATTTGCTGGTATGCGTAATTTAAAAGAATACACATGTGGGAGGGCACAGGCCTGGCTGAAACAGCTCAGGTTTGACTATTTGTGATTCCCTCATCTCCACCCTTCTGGTTGGTTCCCACATGTGTTCACACCAACTCATGATTCAGTAGATGCCCTGTTAACTTCTAATGCAGCTGATTTTCTGAACCTTTTGTCCCTCTTAGTTATTTAGAGTCTTGACTTTTTTCTAAGTATACCATGTCTAAACATAAGTATATACAATTACGATTTGCCATTTTAGCCACACATGAGAGAGTAAACCTTAAGCTATCTGTATTTTTTCCAGAATAAAATTATATTTTTATTCCTAAAATTAAAAAATAATGCTTGAAGTTTGTAAACAAGCAAAATAATACAAAAAACATTACTACAATATGAGTGGAAACTCCACTGATTAACATAAACTGAATATTTAATTGAATATTTTTGCGAGTATCAATCTAGGTATATGGACACATTCTATTTTATGAAGCAAATTTACAATAATATGCATACAATTCTGTAACATTTTTCTTCATGCAATGTTGGAAACATTTTCTATCAATATTGATCTATTTTTAAATTGCACAGCATTTCTTTTTTTTTTTAAAGAGAGAGTGAGAGAGGGGAGAGAGAGAGAGAATCTTCAATATTCATTTTTTAGTTCTCGGCAGACACAACATCTTTGTTGGTATGTGGTGCTGAGGATCGAACCCGGGCCGCACGCATGCCAGGCGAGCGCGCTACCGCTTGAGCCACATCCCCAGCCCCTGCACAGCATTTCAGTATATGGATATATTACGTGTTAACCAGTTTAATCTGATGAATGCTCAGATTGTGTCTTCTGAACAGCAGTTCAATGAAAAATTTAGGATGGTGACATTCATCTTCATGTATTATTATTTCCTTGAAAGAAATAACTAGAATTAGTGCTGTGTCCAAGAATAATCAGTTTTAGACTTAGTGATATGCAGCTGTCTTCCAAACATATGCTTGAGGTTGCATATGTCTCTGACCCTCGTGGGTAATGGGGTAAATCCTAAACCGGATATAAAGGATCTGCTGGAACTGTCTTCACTCACCAGAAGAAAAACTCCCCTATAGATAAAGGTACCATACAGAGCCTTTACAAAATTTTATAAACAATGTCTGATACTAAAGACAACATTAACAGACCTTCCAGGAATGGGGAGGAAACCCAGATTAACTGAAAAAAAAAAAAAAAAAAAAAAATCAACAGGCTCCAGGTGATGTGGAGTTACTAGACATGAATTTAAAATAGCTGCTATTAATATATTCACTGAAAATATGGGGAATTTCACCAAAAATTTGAAATCTAAAAAGAACCAAATAGTCTTCGATTTGACAAATACAGTCACTAGTGTTTAAAAGCAAATTAACAGTGGATAAGCTGTTATCTTCTGAAACCTGCAGCACTCAGGTTGACTGTGGGCTTCTTCAGGCAGACAACCAGCCTTATGGTGTAAGTCTGTGAATATTCACCAAAACCAGGCTCTAGGAAGGATCCTTTCTGGAGAGAGTGAATTTGGGGACCTCTTCAGGACATAGCCCCAAAAGAGTCTTGATTTTGAAAGTGAAAGAAGTACCCCTGTTAGTAAGAATCTTTCCTGAGATTTCTTTCCAAGTCTGAATCTGAAATCTTCTTTCTTTGATAATTAGTGCCTAGGTAGCCTTACTGTACTTGTGGGAACTTAGAAAAGAAAAGGAACATGGAGTTTTGACTCAAAAGCATCAGGAGACCGATGGGAGTAACCCCCAGGCCTGGGGGCTCAGGGATGGCCCTCTGTTCCTAGGAGAAGAGAGGTCAAGTTGTTTTGTTTTGTTCCCAAGGAAAAGAATCTGTGAGTAACCGGTTGATAGAAGGAGGAACGGATAGCCACAGCTGGTTAAATGTTACACTTCCTACAAAGTGATGTCCAGACCAACTAGTCCAGGAGGACTGTGGTTTGGCAGGCCTGATATCATAGTTTCCTTCTTTTTCAGCCTGTTCCGGAACAACTGGACCTCAGAGTAGGAGGACCAGTTCTAAGGTGCTTGAGACCCAAGAAAGACACATGCAGATCCAGAATTTCACAGGGCATGATTTATTGGGGGACTTACTGATGGAAGATTTGTCCTGGGTGACAGTCAAACCAATTGAATTCCAATAATTTGGGTCAGAAGGAGGAGCAGGTAGCTGGGTTAGGAAAAAAGTGACTTCATCCTGGCTGGAAGGTACCTGGTTTATCTCTAACTAATATCTAAGGGGAACATGCATAAAGCCAGATTATGGTTATAAAGCTCCACATGCCACTCGAATGATTTTGTCCAGTTTGCTGGGAAACCGTGCAGGAAAAACAGACTAGGATAACTCTGGGGCAATCATGGTGGTTACAAATCAAGATGGCTGCCATCAAATCAAGCTGAATCCATATACTGTCATATCTGCCCTCTCAGTGTTAGGTGGGTTTGAGGAGGCTAAGGGAACAAAGCACCAGGCAACCCACACATGACAGAAGCACCAATCAGGTGCTGAGAGAACCACCTGTCAATCAGTGGGGCCTCCTGACCAATCCTGGATCTCAGCAAGCTGCCCCC